GCCGAGGGGGCGGGGATGGCGTAGAGCGGGCGTGGGGATAAGGTCGGGAGGGCTTTTTCGTTTTTCTTCTCCGCCGGTTCGGGAGTTCGGGAACGTCTGCAACGCGCCCTGTAGAGTTGATCGTGATCCAAATAGTTATTCTAATCTTAGAATTAGAATAGTGCTATTCTATATATATATATATATATATATATATATATATACATCAGTTCTACGAGAAATTCTATTTATATATATATATATATATGCATAACGTGTATAATATGTAGTATCGTAAAATACCAGCAAACGAAAAAGAATTAAATGGAAAACACAAAATTAAAGAGAAAATAAATAATAAAAACAAAACCCCTAAAACTTTTTAGTACCGATTGGTGTTACCAACCGGCACTAAAGGGCTCCCCGCCCCCGGCGCTGGCACGTGCCACGTGGTGGCCCTTTAGCGGCGGTTCGTGCAGAACCGGTACTAAAGGAGGACATTTAGTCCCCATCTTTTAATGCCGATTACAGAACCGGCACTAAAGGGCCTTACGAACCGGAGTTATAGCCCGGTTCTCCGCTAGTGAGCCATATCAGGTTGTTGCGCCTTTTTTTGAAAGGAGAAAAAACAGCTACCTTTGCATCAATTAATGGTAGTTGCACGCATATATGTACATACGATCTACATGGATCTTATTTCTATATTACATACAAAACCGTAGTTAGGCTTTTTAGTTTCCTGTTTCTCCAGTCTTAATAATTGTTGTTGCCACTGTTGTTGTTGCTGCTATGTTGGTACAATGCAGAGTTGAGCCTTCCTACTATCTCCTCTGTGTTGACGGTAAAACCCTCCTCCACCTGAATGGTAAAGTCAGTAAGTCCATGAAAATTTGAAGTTATAGCCCTAAGTGATGTGGCTGGACATGTATAGTTGATATGTATATAACATCCACCATTAGAAAATACTACTCTACAATGTTTTATGTTGTTGCTCTCAAAGAGATTGATCCTTACGACCACACGCCGCTAGTCTGGAAGTTCCTCTGTTTTTTTACAAATGTATCCACAAAGATTACTAAGTATGATTGTCTAGTAATAAATGACTAATATTTCCCCCGCAAAAAGTGACTAATATTTATAATATTAAATCAATAATACTACATTTACACTGAACTACTCTTATATTATGGGACAAAAACGCTCTTGTATTATGAAAAGGTGGGAGCATATCTTAAGGCTGGTTGTAATGTTAGTTTTATACCTAGTATCATGCATGCCAACTAGGCAATTTTGATGGGTGTCATAGAATTAAATGAAGAAAGAGATGATTGAGTATCATATCATGTTACCGTATTATAATAAATGTTATGCTACTATGTGTCATGCATGGTAATAAATAAAGTAATACATGATAATAATATATAAGTCTTTTTAGAGATTTTACAGTGTAAATTCCCTCATTTTGTTTCGTATGTAGTCCACAGTGAAATCTCTAAAAAGACTTATACTTAGGAACGGAGGACTACCTTGCAGGTGTGCATGTTATAGAATGGTAAGCTTTATAGGTTTATGTATTTATTCGAAAAAACCAGAGTGGACAAAGAGTAGAATGCATACGTATAAAACGTACGACAGCTAGTATTACTGATGAGAACTTGCCTTCGCCATGGTGGTAATAATCACGGTGGACGCCGTGAACGGCATCACATCGTTGTGGACGATGCGGAGGTGGAGCTCCTCGACCTCCGCAAGAACCCTGGCGACCAGACCCTTTCCATTTATTTCACAGTGGATCCTCACCATGACGTTGTCCTCCGAGAGCTTTGCCTCGATCTCCGGCAGCTGGCTCCTATTTGCCGGCATCCCAGCTGCCGAGAAGAACCCTGGACAGGCCTCGCCGTCCGAGCCGACGAGGCACCGTGGCTTCCTGACGAGCACCACGGTCTCAACGCTCCTGTGGTTGCCGCCGGCAGCCTCCAGGTACTTGACCCTCTCTTGGAGCTCCTTCACGTATCTGGTCGCGTCGGCAAGAATCGTCCCCTTGTCCATCTGATCGATTTGGAAAATAATGTAAGCAAATCGATTAAGCATTTACTGAAGTACTATGAAATGTAGAAAGAGTTGAGAGATTAGACATATTCATAGACCTTCTTGAGGCCGGGAATGACGGCGGAGAGCTCGATGAAGCGCTGGTTGATCTTCTCCCGGCGCTTCCGCTCCGCCATGATGTGGTCTTGCGCGTACGGCCTGCTCTTTGTGGAGGCCCTCCTCGTTGGCTGTGACACGCCGGAACGAAGCGGCGCCCCGGCGGCCAGCGTGCCCCCGCCACCGCTGCTGACCGGCTGCGGCGGCAAGGTAGCGCCGAAGTCCCAGCTCATGGACAAGGCGTTGCTGGTGCCGGTGCTGCTCATGCTGCTGGGCGCGAAAGGCCCGCCCGAGGTCGGGGACGACATGGACCAACTGCCTTGGTGCACAGCCAAATCGGGGGCTGGGGTGATGATTCCTCCACCGCCGCCGGTGTCGTCGCCGGAGCTCAGACTGTTCTGTGCTTCCGTTAGCTCCGAGGAATCGCGGAGCGCCTGGAGACAGGGGAAGCCGGCGCTCTTCTCGCTGCCGCCGCCGGCTCCTCCTGGATCCTGCTGCTGCAGTGTGCTCACCGCCCACTGCATGAACAGGCGCGAGTCGTCCATGTCGTCCATGAGCATAGACAGATCCGTACCTTGCCACTGACCTAGCTCGTGCGACATCGAGATAGAAATGGTAAGAGTACTTAAAGCACACGTGACACCGCAGAACTAATCAGAACTAGTCATGCACGATAGTAATTGTTTACCTCGGTGAGTGAATCCCTAAAGATCGATTATGTTAGAACCTGGCCTCTAATCTTCGAGTTTATAACGGAGCGTTAAGGTCCCGTCAATGTAATGTTTGCTCACGCTAGGCCCCTCTAGCCTACAAAAATGAGCCAATCATAAACAATTAACAACCGTTTGTTGGATCCTGGCATATCTTGCCTGGATCCAGTGAAAATGATATTCTACACCGCTGGAAAAGGTGCATTCATGTGGTGGGGCAGAAATACCAAATTTCCTGATGTGTATCTTGACTCTCCTATTGTCCAAATTAGGGTCATGGCAGCTGGATTAGTGGATCCACGTGTGTCTTCCTTCCAAAGTACCAAGGTTTTTTAAATGGAAAATTCCAGGGTTTTATATAGCTACGTATTGATGCGCTGCAGCTTTTTCGAAGCCCAAACACTAGCTAAGTGCCGGTACATAAGGGCATGTACAATGATTGATAATGTTGTCTTATCTTAAGTTTATCACATATAATTTAGATAAAGAAATAAAAATGGTGTACAATGGGTTACTCCCTCCGTTCCTTTATATAAGGTGTATTAGTTTTTTTATAAAATTACACAATGTAAGGTGCATTTCTTTTAATACCTCGCATAATCTTTTTTTATCCTTCTAGAAAAAAGAAAAGTATCTTTCTCCGGATTGTATGTATCTCTCATTATAGAGAAAGAAGGAAAGTATATCTCCCCTGATTGCCTATATCTCTTTCTTTCAAAGCCTAACTGATTTACTTGCCAGTAATCAACAAATTTGACAAGGGTAATTTTATACTAATGTATCTATAATTTATTGCCTTGTTCACCGTGCCCAAAAAAATATAAACCTTAGATAAAGAAACGAAGGGAGTATATCTTAGACTTATCTCTCACAACCAGATAACTCCAAATATATGGTGAGATAGATTGTTGTTAAGAGATCATCTCTTGATTAAGAGAAGGGATGCATTTTCTTATGTTTTCTCTTTCCTTCGCTCAGCATTTATTATACATGGCACTCATAATATAGCACCATTGTATATGTCACTACGCTAGCAACTAGCGCGGTGGAAGATATGAGTGGGAAGAAGATGGCAGGACGGAAAGGAAACATCATGTCTATTGGGGAAAGGGTGACCCTCACTAATTCTTGTCTCAATAGTATTCAATTATATATGATGTCCTTCCTGGAGTTGCCAAAAGGGGTGTTGGATTCTTGCGGGGTTAGAATGTTGTGGCAGAAGATGAATAATAAATGAAATATCGCCTAATCAACTGGCATATGTCGTGTCCATACCAAAAGTCCTTGGGGTTGTTTATTTACAAGTCATGAATTAGAGCCTGTTATGCAAATGGCTTTGAAAATTGGAGAACACAGATGGTACCTTGCAGCAATTGTTGTCCAGAAAATACCTTCAGAATCAAACCCTGTTAGGGATTAGAGTTGGGATTAGGGGCTAACCTTTTTGTCAGTCTGACGAATATGAACCATATTTTTCAGAAGTTTACCAAGAGGTTGTTAGGTGATGGGGCTAACTCTATTTTGGGAGGATATATGGATTAATAATACATATCACCTTCTCAAAGAAATTTATAGTTCGAATAGTCAAACTTGAAAGATGGGTGTGCATTGGTTTGATGAGAACTTTGTGGGGGAGAAAATGCCCAATAGTGCCTTAAAGATCATGGTTGGGGGTGGCTTAACTCTTTTCCGATAGCACCGAGAAAATTGGTGCTCTGTGGGGGAGTAGCAGTATGACGGACTATGTGGAAAACTAGAAATGTGGCTTGTTTTTTATAATAAAAATCCTAATGATCCGGTTGTTGTGATCTAAAACTTATGTCATATTATGCGAAAGATTGGAGAATCTTTCGAAAAAGACGAGAGCAAGTAAAAGCTGAGGAGGGGATCTTGAAGATCAAGATGGTGCTACATGAGACCTACGCGAGGAGTCATAGAGGGAATCCAACAAGACAGAGGATTACTCTATGACGGAGCTTGGCTAGAGCTCTCTTTTGCCAACTTGATCTTGTGTAGATTTGGTTCACGTGTTTTGTAAAAACGGAATTGGGATTTTTTTTCTGTACTTATTGTCTTTGTTATAAAGGTACTCCTTCTGTCCGGAAATACTCGTCGGAGGAATGGATGTATCTAGATGTATTGTAGTCCTAGATACATTCATTTTTATGCATTTCTTCGACAAGTATTTCCGGACGGAGGAAGTAATAGCATTTGGAAATGCTTCCTTTTTTATATTTTTGTAGTTTTTGTTTTTGAAGTGTAAAAGTTGATGTTGGTTTCTTTAATAGAAATTGACAAGGAGACTCGTTGGGTGAGGGAAAAGACAAATAGCATTATAGCTCTGCTATTTGCCACACCTTGCAGAAGGCCATAGTTCTGCCACCCCCATAGTATACTTATCATAAAATATTATGATAATTTCAAAATATAATTTTAATAGAATGTGAAGTAATATAATTATAAGATTCAAATGTCGGTTTTTCAATAATGCAACATACATATTTCTTGGTCATAAAAATAGTGACATATATCTTTCAAATTTGGCATCTGACGGATTCCCCATTTCTTATTAGGTCCAACTTATTCACAACAACCAAGCAGGACCTAGTTAAGTGCTAGATACCATACTAATGCTATATCCATGGCCCTTTCTCTCCTCCATGCATTGGCCGATTTCACATTGGGAACCATAAGTTGACAAAAGTTAATATAGACATGGCTATATTTGCCTTTTCCCAAGACAATGAGCCTTACATGCAGGAAATTTCTGGTTTTTTTAGATGAACCTAGCAAACTGGAAGGGTTCCTCCCGACCTCCTACTCCCGCCACCACCCTCCTCCCGATCTCCTACTCCTACGTGTACCCCTCGCGTCTCTCCCCAGGGCAACACCAGGGGCCCAACTCTAGCGCCGCCAAAATTCGTTGATCTCAAGGCCCCCTTCTGCCACTGCCAGCGGTGTTGGCCGCGGAGGCAGTGGGCCCAGCGCCGAAGGTGCCTAGGTGGCTGGTCGCGGCGATGGCCCACTGGTGCGGCTAGGGCTGTGCCAGCAGGAAGATCATGCGCGGCGACCAGGGTGGCGGCCCCTAGTTGTGCGGCTGCGGTCGTCGCCTCCATGGCATGTCAAGAGCTCTGGCATTCTTCTGTGGCAATTGTTGGTGATGGTGTATAGTGGATCTGATTCCCTCGCAGATCCATCGTCGGTCTAGCTCGTGGCCGGCTCGTGGCGCATAGTGGGGCCGGCGAGGGTTGCTAGAGTTCTCTACCATCGTTTTAGCGGCTGCATGCGCCTCCATGGCGCAACTTCGCGCGGATCCAACCAGCTTCTGGTTTGAAATGGTGTGACTGTCGGTGATAACCATGCCGATTTTGTTCATGGCAAACGATAATTGCATCTTAGGCATCGTTTCCTTGTCGAAGGCCTCATCGTCACCTCACTCCGGCTGCTCCAGGGGAAACCCTAGATATGGG